GTGTGACAAGCCACGTTCTAAGAAGCAATTTCCTCCTTGTCCCATAAAACTCCCCAAAGTACCTTAGGCGAACACTGAAGCTCTGGGTCTGTTTGCAAACTGCAAATACAGCAGACATTTAATTACACAGAATTCATCAAAACCCTAATTGAGACAGGAACTCAAACCTTACAGCTTAATTACTTTAATTTCAGATGGGCAACAGACTTGGTCATGTGCAGCCCTTCATTCTAGGAAGTGGGAGAGAGAGGCCCATGGGCCCTTGTGGGTGCTTCTCACAGCCAAGTGGAAGTGCAGATCAACATAAATAACAATGCTAAGTGAGACCCATGATTGGATTTATTAGTCATTTCAATTCCCAATATCTATCCTTTGCTGTAACATTCCACAGCAGCAGCCCCATCACTCAGGAGAGCTCCTCAGCGCAAGGCTCAGTAGCTTTCATTTCTTACTGGTGTTTCTTTTCCTCTCACTGATCAGCGAGCACAGAAGCCAACTCCAGTTCCTCTGAGACTGTCTCTCTATCAACATCTTCTCATTGCGATTTTCATTTGGAAAGCCTTCCCCTGACCTTCTCTTCCCTTTTGCGGCCGTTCTGGATCCTGTGATTGTTAACTAAGCGATGGGCACCTCTGACCGTTAGAAAAGTTCTATCCAATGGTTGGTTAAATTACCACAGCAACGCGGAGTGCAATTTGAAAGCAAGAACCCCAGGGATTAGTATTCTGAACATTGATCACAGTATCCGACTTTTATTGACCTCATGTGTGAGCCAGGTGCTATGAATGCTGACGTGCCCTGTTCCATCTCTACAGCAATACTGGAAGGGAGGTGTACTTACACCCAACCTACAGGTGAGAAAATTAAGGCTTACAGAGCATCTGTAACTTCTCCAAGGACCCACAGACAACAAACAGCAGAGTCAGAATTCAAATCCAGGCCGGTCTGATTCCCAAGCCCATGTTCTTTCCCAAGAATAATTTTCCTCCTCTGCAAAGACTTCAAGGAGTCTACAAAACTCTGAAAGAGATCGACAATGACCTTCTGCAGTAAAACGACAGATAGCAGCATTTTCTGAAGTTCAGGAAGCCATTGCCTCTGATGCAGGGGCTCTACCCAAGCTGGTGACGAGCAGCATTGCTAATGAGTTATGAACCACACACTCATTCAGGCCATTCATAAGTAATTAGTTGCATAGTATTGACTGGACATTGCCCAATCATTTGTTTCATTTCTTCACATTATCTCTCTCCCCTTCAGGCTTACTTTTGAATCAAGCTGCAGGTAAAAATGACGAATGAACTAATGACAGTGCTAATAACGGCCAGGCTAATAACCATACTGCTAATGGTGACAGTGCTAATTAAGAGAGTGCTAGCAGCAACAGCTTCTTCTTCTGGGTGTGATGATTCTCTGCAAGGCAACAAGAAGGTGTTCACAGAAGAGGAGAACCAGGGAAGTGCAAGTGGCACCCAAGGCAAGACGGAGACTCATTTTGGTTGGTATCTGCTGCATTTGTAGGAGATTTAATAAGCACCCCAGTAAGAATCTACAAAATGTAAGACAAATGTTATTGACTAAAAGGACATGGAAAAATGAAAATGTTCAGTCAGGGAGTTGGGCAGAACCCAATCACCATGGACAGAAACAGCTGTCTGGGAGTCCCTGTCAGGAGGAGCAGATTCCTGATGAGACCAAGGTGTCCCTCTGCCTGTCACAGCAGGTAGCTCAGACAACCAATCAGCATGATTTTTACATTATCATAAAACTGATACTGTAAAAATGAGAAGTGAAAACTGAGCGGCAGAGAACAGTGTTCCAGAGTGTACCCTGCATGACTTTGTAATCTGCGTCAGGGGATAGGCAGCACGTGGTGCCTTGGCCGGCTGCTGGAAGATGGAGGAGCAGTCAGAGTTGTGTGAGAAGGCAGCCAGGAGCTTTCCACAGACCTTCACGTTAGCCAGTACGTCTGCCAGGATGCTGCATGGCCAAATTGAGGCTGCTGACTCAGTGAACTGGATCACCACTCTTCAATTTCATAAGTGGAGTTGTCCCAGTAGACTTCTCAGGGTTATTTTTTTTTTTCTAGAAGATACAAAGCCTTGGGTGTTTGGGAAGATCATATTGTTTGGGAATAAGATTCTTATGAAAAAAACAGGATAGCAGAGTTAGCAGGCCAGCTGCAAACCCTGCAAACCTTCAGGTAAAAACAGGATAGCAGAGTTAGCAAGCCAGCTGCAAACCCTGCAAACCTTCAGGTATCGCAACACACTATGCCAGTGATTGCCCAGCAGCTTCACGCTTGCCTGACTTCTGGTGTCTTGTCAAGACTTTCCAAAACAGACACCAGCACTTATAGGGAACATGAACCCCCTGCCACACCTTGGCAGTGCAATAGTCTCCATAGATGAAGTATAGACCTGCATAGCCGCTGGTGACAGCAGAAGCAAACTCAATCGAACATGAAAATAAAATGCTCCACCGCAGTAGAATAGAATGGTTGCATCCTACACACTTAGGCCTGTAAACTGTTTTTAGCAGAAAAAATTCTCTCTTTCTCTTGTCTCTCTTCTCCTCACATTTATGAAGCATGGGGAGTATGTGTCTTCAAAATGTTCATGGAAAATGTATGTTATGAAAACTAGGCAAAGATTCAAAATTTTTGTACCAAAATAAACTTGTAACTTAAAAAAATTGTTCACCATAGAGAGTACGTATGTGCGTGCATGAAAGAGATATGGAGAGAGCAGCATGTTCAACAGGGTCTGCTCACACTGCAGTCCCCTTTCCCCAGCACTCCAGTTTATCAGGATCTGGGGCACAAACACATACTCGGCATGTGTGTCTCAGAGATGGGGACCTGCAGCTGACCATGTGACTTCTTCTCTGCAGTTCAGTACGCTAACTACCGTGCCACCAGGCTGTGCCTAAACTGATACTTTAATTCCATCTTCCCCCACATTCTGAAGCTTCCTTGCATTATATTTCCACTGAGGCAAAGCCATACCTAAAATCGTTTGAGGCCATTCTAGTTCAGATTAGTAGCCTAGCAAAATAAATGTGGCACCCTCAAGTTGTAACCTGCCTCTTTCAGGCTGGCTAGTTATTTATGTGGACCTCAATGCTCTACACTCCACTGACATGGAGACCATGCTCCAGATCCAGTTGGTGTAGCCTCCTGGGGCATAGGAAGCCAAATCTCTGCAGTCCCCATGCAGGTTGTATTCCAGCAAAACAGTCTCCTACCCCAACTCCATGTTTCCCCCTTGCCCAGATGTCATGTCCACCGTCACAAAGTTTGTCACTCTTACCTGCCCGGCGAAGAGCCCACAGACACCAATAATGCAGAGGATATTGAACACTGCCGAGCCCACGATGGTCCCAACTCCCACATCGCCCTTGGTGATGAACACTCCTGCAACACAGACCAGTGTTAGCCTGGCTGCTGCAGCCCAGCTATGCTCTGAAGTGCACGTGGGGGGCCTTTAATAAGCATTACACTGTTGTCAGGATCTACAGGAAACGGGAGAGGGCTGGGGGAGCTTCTAACCCACAGAGGGAAGACTGTCTCGTAGGAGCAGGGCACGGGGTCTGGGACACATTGGTGCACAGTGCAAGCATCACTGAAATGGAACAGCAACAGCACAGGAGGCTGATGCTCTGCTTGCCAGGGCCTCGGCAT